CGTCTCTCACAGCCCTGGTTTCGTCCACAGTGGAGCAGACAGGAAGAAGGAGGTCAGGGGTCAGATGGAGGAGATCCAGGAACGTGAAGAGGTTCCTCACCCAAAGGACGTGTCCCCCTCCTCCCCCCTCCCTCCTCAGACCTGTGTGACCCCCCCTCAGAGACCCTCCCAGTCTGCTGACACCAGTAAAGGCCACGCCCTGCCTAAAAGGTTCTGCTTTGTGATTTGTCAGCTGCTTCTGACCTCAATGACTGACATCACTCTGCCAGTGATTACTAACCCCGCCCCCTCAGAACCCACAGTTCTTTGCCCCGCCCACCTGGGTCACCTGACATGTACAGAAGCCTCTGATTGGCTGAGTGTACCTGATCCAGGTGAGAAGGTGCAGCATGAACAGGACTGTGGCTCCTCCTCCCTGAGTCACTTCCTGGAGAACCTGAGTCTGACGGAGCTGACTAACCTTCTCCCAGCTTCACCTGCGGACTCCTCCTCCTCCTCCTGCTCTTCTTCTTCCTCCTGCTCCTCTTCTCCTCCTGCTCTTCTTCCTCCTACTGCTCCTCCTCCACCTCTTCTTCCTCCTCCTTGTGCACCTCCTGCTCCTCCAGGAGGCTTCCTGAAGCCTGGGCCTTGTGCTTCTCTTTCGGCTCTTTAACTTCCTCTGGAGGGGATTGGTTCAATTGAGTCGATTCAGTGTTGGGACTAAACTGTGTCTATTACAAATGATAATAAGAAACAATAACATTCATAATAATAACTATAAGATAAAACTACAATATATATCAACAAAATAAACAATCAAAAAATCAAATCATCATTTTGTTCATAATAATAATAAAACAATACAACAACAACATGAGTTTCATGACACAGTGAAAAACACGACACTGAGATGATTCTCTTCTTCATCTGCTGCTGTGATACTGATGCTGTGTGTGTGTGTGTGTGTATGTGTGTGTCTCTCTCTCTCTCTCTCTCTCTCTCTCTCTCTCTCTCTCTCTCTCTCTCTCTCTCTCCCCCCCTCCAGGGGGCCCAGTGTGAAGCGGTCCTCGGGTATCGAACGCTCTCAGAGCAGCACGTGGGAGAGTTCAGATGAAAACAGGAACAAATTGGTGAAAGCTGCTTCAACATCCAGACTGTTGACTAAAGTGATGAAGACTGCAGAGAGGTACACGCACACACACACACACACACACACACACACACACACACTCACAGATCATTTCAGTTTCATCATCAAGTTGAAACATTAATGATCTGAAGTCACTTTTCATATTAAGTATATTATAGAAAAATCAACATGCTCTGCCTGTCAGAGAAAAAACTAGAGAACCAGACTTTTATTTTTTTAATCATTCAGTCTTCTATTTATTTTTAATTCTAGTATTAAATGATATATTTTTAAGTAACGTCACAAAGACAGGCTACAGTGAGCCCCAGGTTTAGATTATGGTAAAAACGCATTTGATGAAGGAATAAGAAAATAGGAATAAGATGTGTCAAAGTCTTATACATTGATCAATTTATACAATTGAAATAAGAACCTTACATTCAACTATTTATGTTGAAGAGAGACGTTTGAGACATTGTGGAAATCACACAAACCTTCAGCTACCAGGCTCCTCTCCTGTGGAGTCAGACACCTTCTCTCCAGTTAAGGTTAAACTTCAAATGTTCCTTTTTGATAAAACCTGTAGTTCTGGATCAGGTCCTGAATAGAGATGTCACGATATGAAATTTTGGTGCCACGATTATTGTCAGAGGAAATATCACGATTTTCATTTTCATTATTTATACTATAGAAGGAAAWAGACACACAACAAACAATATATAGCGAATATATAGCTAATAATATAACTAATGAACTAAAATATTTATTGTTATCAACAATAATATCCAGTTAGTTTTTGAAGTGTAACGTTTGGCTGTTTAAAAGTAATTAATGTAAGCGTTTTTATTTAGTTGCCTTATTGTGGAAGGTTGGTCAGTGAATTTGTGTTTGCTGTCATCATAAGCAGTTTATCTGTATGGGACTTTTATTGTGAAGGGTTCTGTTTTGGGAGCCAGTTGTTGACTCGTGCAACAGTAAACAGGTAAACTTCTGGTTCACGCCTCATTGTTCATGTCCTGATTATACTGTGACCTCCAGCTGGCTACATTCATAATGGTAGAGAGCGAGCGAGTGAGTCAGCTAGTCAGACACCAACAGTAAACAAGGATTTCTCTTCTCACTGTGAACTCCTCTGATGAAGTTGTTTGTCCAACGTTGGTGGAAATGAGGCCGTTAAGTCAGTTCCCTCTTCTCAACTAACGTTTCAGTGGCCTGCGCACTCACAACGTGACTCGCGAGAGGCTGGACACCATAGTTAGATATCGTAGTGTTTACAATTCTTACGGTTATGAAATTGTGACGTTATCAAACCACGGTTATTGTAAATCTGTTAATCGTGACATCCCTAGTCCTGAACCATCCCTCAGCTATGCTGCTATAGGTCCAGACTGCTGGGAGAACTCCCATCATGCACTGAGGGAAAACTCCCATCATGCACTGGTGCTACAGGTGGTTCTATGGCTTCTGGACAAGACAATGTACCTGTTCATGGGGAGGAGGTGGTGAATTGTTTCCCTGATGGTTATAATTGAGTTGGTGAAGAAGTTCATGAAGTTCATTGATCCTCAGAGGAAAAGATGGATCAGAGACCTACAGAGCAGAAGAGGAACCTTCTTCTTCTTCTTTTCTTCCATTAATGATGAATAACAGGAGTTTCTGTCTTTTCTGTCTCTCTTTAGACACAAAGACCCGGTGGTCAGTCAAGGTAATTACACTTTAATCATCTTCATGTTCCAACAGCCAATAGGAATCCAGAGTCACAGCCAACAACACAAACAACAACAAAACAAACAACTCAACAGCAGCAACAACAAAACTATAGTTGTGTGGTTTTGTTGCCGTCTCTATTGTTGTGTTTGTTGATGTGTTGTTTTGATGCTGTTACTGTTGTTTGTTTTGTTGTTGTGATGTTGTTGTTTGTTGTGTTGTTTTGTTGTTGTTGTTCAGTGACAATGTCTTTGTCTCAAACCAGCCAAAATGTCAACCCGAGAGAAAAACAGCCAATCAGGTGAGTCCTGATGAGTTGTCAGAGCTTTAGCCCCAACAAGCTAACAAGCTAACAGGCTATTAGCAGCTCACTGAGCACTTCCTCTCTCTGCTTTAAACCAATCAAATCTCTTCATCTGCTGTCACTCACCTGCTTCACCTGTCACTCACCTGCTTCACCTGTCACTCACCTGCTTCACCTGTCACTCACCTGCTTCACCTGTCACTCACCTGGTCATTATGGTGGTTCACCTCTGATCTGTACTGGGGCGGCTGTGGCTGAGGGGGTAGAGTGGTCGTCCTATAATCAGAAGGATGACAGTTTGATTCCATTCTGAAAGTGCTGCACATAGATGCACGGTATGAATGACAGCTGTCTAGAAAAGATCTTTACAAATACAGACCTGGGTTAATCACTATGGTAACTGAACCAGATCACTGTGGAGGAGGGGACTTTATGTGAGGAAGCTTCATTGTGTCACATGACCTGTTCTTTAATGTGATTGGATGAACAGTCTACCCTGTGAAAAGTTCCGAATGATCTGATCAGTGTATAATATATTCTATTCTATTGATCATGTGTAAACCATTTTAATCCAATGTTTGTACTTGGTGATAAAAGAGACTCGAACCAATAACAACACAATTTGTTAGAATATATTTGATCAATAAAAGCATATTTGTATTGTTTGTTTCAGAGGGAAATCACATCAAGATGTTCATGCGTGGTCGACCCATCACCATGTTCATCCCGTCAGACGTGGAAAACTATGACGAAGTTCGTACAGAACTTCCTTCAGAAAGACTAAAGCTGGAATGGGTGTATCCTTCATTCTGGACAAAGGGGGCACTCTGACACAATACTTCTCATAATAGTAACAATAAAAATGATTATTACTATAAACATTTTATTTGTACGTGCCAAATCAGAAACGGATTTAGAGAAACGACGTTTTCTCTTCACACCGTCTCTAATGCAGACGTGTGTTCGTCAGAAAATCTTCAGTAGATCTTTAGTCACACTTAATTTAGATCCTCAGTAGATCTCACTAGAGCTTTATTAACATTTCCAGTTGATCCTTAGTAGTTCTTTATCATATAACTTTAGATCCTCAGTGGATCTCCAGGTGTGTCCTTAACTCCAGACAGGTACGGTTACCGTGGCCGAGACTGCAGAGCGAACGTCTACCTGCTTCCTACAGGAGAGATTGTTTACTTCATCGCGTCGGTCGTGGTTCTGTTTAACTACGAAGAACGAACACAGAGATTTTATCTCGGACACACCGATTGTGTCAAGTGGTGAGGAAACATTAAAATGCTGCTCTCCTATTGGTCTGTGTTGACAGGTGAGTGACATCATCTCTCTGTGTTTGACAGCCTGGCCCTCCATCCTGATAAAATCCGGATCGCTACAGGACAGATTGCAGGAGTGGACAAAGACGGACGAGTGAGGACAAACATTTTATGTCCATTAAAAGTGAAAGCTTCATCTACGACAAAAACCTAATAACAATTGTGACGAGCGTTTCACGTGTCTCGTTAGAGACTGAATTTAACGACAGTGTGTAAATGTCTGAAGGAACTGTTTAATATTTTAAACCAGGGTATATACAATTATACACCTCTGTAACCATGGTAACTGTACATACAGATTGAAGCAGATGTCGTCTCAAAATTATTATAAGACTTAATATAAGGGTTTATAATAATAATAATATTGGTTATTGATACTGGTATTGATCACAGTGTCTGTGTTCAGGCGCTGCAGCCTCACGTTCGTATCTGGGACAGCGTCAGTCTCTCCACTCTTCAGGTCGTTGGTTTGGGAACTTTCGAGCGCGGTGTCGGATCTCTGGCTTTCTCCAAAGCTGTGAGTATTACCAGCTGCATCATGGGAACTGAAGTCTCTGCTGACCTCAGACATTATATCATTATAAATTATCATTTATTTATCATTGAAAAATTCTCATTGTTCTTGTCTCACATCGTGTCTCTCTCTACTTGTGTTTCCTTCAGGACTCGGGACATCACCTTAGTGTGATTGACGACTGTAATGATCACATGTTGACGGTCTGGGATTGGCAGAGGAAGTCAAAGATCGCTGAAATCAAGGTCAACACATTTTATTTTGAAATTTTTGTTTCGGTAACGCTTTACAGTGTAGTGCAGTTTCACTGTCAAACTGTTTCTTCTTACATTTTAAATTGGACTGTTAACTAATCTGGTTGAGTGGCAGCTGAAGAAGTTTATTCTAACTGGTTCTAACTGGTTACAGACCACTAACGAGGTGGTCCTGGTTGTGGAGTTCCATCCCACTGACCCTAACACCATCGTCACCTGTGGAAAGTCCCACATCTTCTTCTGGACCTGGACCGGAACCTCGCTGGCTCGAAAACAAGGAATCTTTGGGGTGAGGGCACTTTTTTCAAATTCATGTAAATAAAACCATCGCCTGAATAAATACAGACGACATTGTCATAGACAATGACAGCTCAAACATAACCCTCCTCCATGTTAGCAGATGGGACATGGACCACTCTATAAAAACAATTCTGTCATTGCAGCTCGTTCTCATCTCTCTGTGATGTTCAAGTGTTTCTGATCCGTTTGGTTTGAATCAGTTATTTGATGATAGAAAGTTGGGCTGAGACCGATTGGTCGCGATATTGTTTATGTTTTACAGGAGAT